GAATGCCCTTCCCTTGCTTCAAGCAAACTCAACCGCATTCTTTACGAGCAGAGTTCCCAGGCACGGCGACAGTGCTATGTTGTCTTTGCACGGCCGTTTGGACCTGCAGGACTCTTCTTAAGGCTTCCTGATGAGCTTTCGCCACCCGCAAGAAAGCAACAAGATATGATCACGTGTGTTCTACGTGGGAATTTTCACACTAGCATAGACGCTTCGGTGCCCGGGGCAGGGGCTGCAAGGCATCAAAAGGACATAACAACTAGAACAACAACCTATTTGATCTTTGGGCGACTCGTTTGGCTTCAAGGAGTCTTAGCCAGACCTTGGCCATTTGCAGGTGGCCGGCCTTCAAAGAACTGGGGCTTCCGACTTGGCTCGGAAGGCTCCACAGCGCCTTAGGAGAGCGGCGGACTGCCCACTGGACCCAACGCATCCGGTCATGCAATCTCAGGATTCCTGTGCGGCCAGAAGCGCAAGAGGGTCCCAGGGTAGCAGTAGCTCAGAACCGCCCTCGGTTTGCAAGATGCAAGGTTTTGAGATAGGCCTTTAGTTTAATGTTGACCCAGGATTAATAAACCTGTCCCATTATTAGGAGGGTGTTCCCTCCAAAAGCGACGAATCCCCACTAAACGGGGGCACCCCCCTATTAATCAAGGTGAACATTAAAACAAACCGGCAAACGCGGCCCCGCCTCCTCGCAAAGCAGCGAGGGCATACCCTGCCAGGTGAAAAAGCACAAGCTTACGTCTTAGCTAAACAAACAACATGGTGTTTGTCCGTAACGAGCAATGTGTCGTCGTGTCTTCCCTTCGTCCGCTTGACTTCTTCGTTTGCTCGTTCGTTCATGTGTTCGTTTGTTTGTTTGTTTGTTTGTTTGATTGATTGATTGATTGTTTGATTGATCGGTCGGTCGGTCGGTCGGTCGGTTGGTTGTGTGATATACGTTTGTGTGTTCGGTGTTTGGCTAAATGTAGCGTGTGTTTGTTCCTGTTGATGTCCTGTCTCGTTGTGTCTTCTTTCTTTGTTTGTTTGCTCAGCTTGCTTGTCGTAGGGGACGAACAACTGAAAGAAAAGGGACTGAGGACGATATTGGCCAGGGAGGCAGGGGGCAGGACCAAGGAGAGATGCCAAATGAGGGGAGTACGGAGCCTTCGGGCTTTGTAGATTTCTGGGTTCCTTTGAAAAAATTCGCAGAAGGAATCTTAAAAAGAAGTCCAAAAAGGAGGCTCCTCTAACCCAAGTACTTTGGCCTTGCCTCATGGCTCCCTCTCAGCACTTGAACTCGGGGGTCCCCTGCTACGACTCCAACAGAACAAGTTTGGGATCATTGATCATTATGAGTCCAGTTGTTGGTAGAAGAAGAATTGGGTGTCTTTTGGGGTTTGACCACTTTCTGGGGATGCCACCAAACACTGGACAGTCCAACACCTGAAATGTCTGCCTCCCCTGGCAATTCGTACCTTTTTGTCTTTGCTTGTCCTATTTTTTGGACCGAGCTGGTTTTGGAGGCATGCGGGCTGTCAGGTCCTAATATGACCTGCTCGAGCAGAAATTGTGTGCAAAAGTGCCCTCGCAACGGCCCGCAAAACAAGCGTAACAACCCGCAAACGAGCGCAATTTTGAAAAGCGCTCATTTGACAATATCAACATAGGGCACTTGTTCATTGCTCGGCAGACATTGTGGAATCGGGCACTAACTGTGTGTTCGAGCAGAAAAAAAGCTATCCAAACAAAAAGGTATCAATGGAAGGTCCAGGACTCAAGGGAAAAAGGGTGCCACTGACCAACTGGCGAAGCGTTCGCGGTTGGATAAGTAATTGCCATCCAGATGGTGTGAGCTGTTTTGCTGTCCGCACTGACTGCAAGTCCTTAGCCAATTAGCGAAGGTGAGTTTCTTTTTTGCAGGGGGCCTTGGAAGAATCCACGTTGTTCGTGGAGATGGAGAGTTGGTTTAACGCCAAGTCAGCTGGTTAACGCTTGGAAAGCGGTTTGAGGCGGGTTGCGCAACATCTCCCGCGATACATGTGAGAATTAGAGTCGTCAAATGAGCCAGCCGTACTGCTCCAAAACTTTTCCACATATTTAAGTAGCAAATCCAGGCTTGTCGCCGGGGCTGAACCTGCAAAAACCTTTTTTTCGGTTGCCACCTTGTCTATGTGGACAAGGAATCCGCATGTGTGAAGTCTATGTTATGGTGGAAAGGCATCCAGTTTGCAACCATATCATTCGGGTCATATGGGCGCATATTGTCGAGCGCTTGGTCCTCTTAAACAAGCCCCAGGAACTCATTGTTTCTGGCGGGCGTGGCAAATAGGGTGCACGCATGCGCCCCTGTGCATTTCAATCAATGGATACCTGTGCAGTGCACACTTGGCTATGGCGCCAAGCATAGAAACCAGCTACAGGAACCTCGCGTTCATTGTACACAATATGTTGCAGTTCGCCCATCTGCTCACACTCCGTTGCAAAGGGCCTGAGGGACAAGGTTAACATTGCCGCACTTCCTGAGTGGATTGTCCAAACGCACGCCGATCCGAGAAATCAAGGATCCTCGCAAAATGAAGCCGCATACCCCAGCTAGCTTGCCCTAGGTTGCTTGCTAGCAAATGCTCTCAGTCGGCTGCCAGGATCCTTTTACACAAACAACAGCTTGCATAAGATATCAGATTCCTTGGCTCCCTCTTTTGCCGATGTCTTGTTCATGCAGTACCTCCGTTGTTAAAAGAGGCCTCAACATGTCTTGGTTGCTGTTGACCCCCTGCAAAAAGTTCAACTTTTCCGGGGTATAGTGGGGAAAAACATTTTCCCCCAAAAAAGTTGAAGTCTAAAGATCCAGGCCAATAGCAGTCAAGAGTGGTTTTCACTGTGAGCCATGTTTGAGCAGGGAGACTGCAACCGACTCTGCTGGCCCTAACCTCCAATCCGTTTCCGGCCTCCGACCCTCTGCCCCCAACGAAGCCGGCGACTTGGTACTTGGGGCTTAGTAAGCACGGCTGCGGTCTGCGGTCGCATGCGAGCGGTAGGCCAAAATAGGCCAAATAGGATTTTATTTTGGCACCCATGTGAGAGTCCAATGAAACACCCGACTCAGTGTGGCTTCACAAGGAAACCGATAAAACAAATGAGAACGTTTTTCAATTTATGGAAACGCCCTGTTCCCTGGAACTGGCATTTAGAGGAAACCAGGAATCCCTTAGCCTTGACACACTGGCTTTGCGAGGAACAGTTCTGCGTAAACTCTTGACGTGGGGTCGGCTGAAACGGGCATGTGCGGGTTGGAAACTGAGCAACCCCCCTTGCCGAAGTCAAGGTTTATGGACGGGGGAATTGGTTTTCGTCACCCTCCCCGTGCTGCCGGATTCGGCTACCTTTTCAAAGGGGGGGGTTTTCTTGGTGTCACAAAAAGCGATTGCCTAACTTCCTCAAAGCAATGATGTGGGTGGGGTACCCAAAATGGAACCCTGGTAAATGGAGCCAAGAACTAACACCTGCGGTCCCTGGTGGTTTAATTTTGACCCATACCCATGTGACCGAAACCTTGTGCCACGGGGGCGGCAATTCGTCTCCCTGTCTGTTTTCATGGAAGCCAGGCTTTGCAAGCGGTATCAAAGCCACGATGCTGCTGCAAACCTCAGGTAACTGCATTAGTTGCAAGGAACATGGTTGCACATGGTTGCACATGGTTGCACATGGTTGCACATGGTCACATGTCCTTGTGCATTAGCTGCGGGTTCACAAGTTCAGCGTCTGATGCAAACGTGCCAATCCAGACCTACCCGCAGCTCACAATCCCATTCTTGTTGTGCTTGCAGCCATCACTGAACAAAAACAGTTGAGAGTGGGTTGTCTCCATAGAAGAAACCGGTCCTAAAGGGTACCCGCACCAAATGGACACACCCGTAGCAACGAGCCAGAACGCGTGAGCGATTGAAAGTCTGGCTCAAAACAGACTGGCAAATGCGAATATTCTTGGCCAAGCCCTGGCACAAGGGCAGAAATGGGGTCCCTAATGAAAAGAAACCAACGAATTGTTGACACTCCTTCCGTTGGACATTGCCATGGTTGCCATATAGGACTCTTGCGAGAAGTGAAGAGGCTCATGGTCGCTCCTACAAATAAAAAGGCGCTGCGACCATGCTGGATGTGGCTTATCTTCCGCTGCCTTGTTGGAAGTGCAAACAAATCATCGGAAGGGACTCGTATCAGTTTTGGACACAGGCCCTCTCCCTCCCAATGGAGACAAGGGCGATCCATGTCTTTGAGCTTCCCTTTGCTAGGCGACTGCCGGGTTTGCTGGCCAGAAGAAGCGGTTTCTTGGCGCCTAAAACGAAATCTAGCGAGAAACATTGTTCGGCAACTCGAGAAATCAGGAAAACGAGGCATGCCCCGATTGAAGACGCGGGACATGATTTTCTCATGGCGAAACCCCCCTGGGCGAGTTGGTCAGGTCCAAACACAAAAAGGATGGAAATTCTGACTCCCCAGCAAACAACTGCACAGGCCCTTTCTCAAGACTGTCTTTTTTAGTGTATCCTTCTTAATGTTAGTTTATCATTGTTTGAGGGGAGGCCGAAAGGGCTTTTCCGGCCATTTTGGGGAACCCGTATGTTGAGAACACCCCCCCCTTCCTTTTTGCACTGGGCACGAAGAACGCTTACGCATTGGTGACCCAACAAAGTTCTCGCTTGATTCCTGGCCGACTTTTTGCAACGCGGCATCAATCAATCACCGCGGACGATGCTGGGTTGGCAAAGCTGCACGACTGGAGGCCACAGCGGTTCACTTTCTGAGTGGCCTAAACAAAGTCCAAAGCCTGGTTTACCACTGAATTGGCCTGAGCGCTAAAAATAGAGACCAAACACGTGGCTTTGACTCGCTAAATGTGCGCTCATGGCCATTCTGGACACAAAACGCATCGATTTCCCATCCATCACATCACAACATGTGAGCCAAATTTGGAGTTTTTTGTAAGGCTACCCAAAGGAAAATCTCCATTTTGTGGGTCCCGAAAAAACAAATGACACACCCACATGTGCCATGCAGTTGGCGCTCTGCCATGAGTCCGATCCGGGCGGTCCGGGCGCTTAGAACCACCCGCCCCAGCTGGGATCGTCGTCGATCTCCTCGGAAGGGCCGGCACGTCAAAGGGCCGCGTTCCCCAAACTTGGGCCCAGCAGTTGGATGCTGTGCAAAAGGGGCTGAAAGGCAAGCAACAGCTGGTGCTTCTCAATGCAGGGAATAGGGTATTAATAATTAGGGAAATGCAGACAGTTTTCTGGCATCGAAGACCCGACTCTCAGATATCAGCCAGCGCAGCCAAAACTTCTGGCGAGACACTGTGTAGCAAAGTGACCTTGATATCTTTGGGTTGGATCGTTCCAATGCAGCGCGCCACATTTTGCAGGGATCCCTAGATTATACACCTGAACATTGCCTTGTCAATGGTGGTTTCTGTGTATTTTGGTGGAAAAAGCCATGTTTCAAATGGGCAAAATGTATCTTTTAAGGAGCCCTGTTTAGGCACCTACTAGGACAAGCCACCGGCGCTTCAAGAGGTCCATGTCAGTTTCAAAGAGGGTCAGAAAGGCTGCGCTCATATCAATCGCCTAATAGAAGGCAATCCGCCGTTTGTGATCCTCCTGAGGTGCATAGCGGACTTTAGCACATCTTCATACCCACACCAGGAACTGAAAATCGACTGCCCCTCCTTGGTATATATTCATGATGGTATATACTAATGAACTTTCTACTAACCACGAGAAAAAGAAATACACAAAGGTGCTTTCTAGCCGCCCCCCTTCCATACACGACTGTTCTGGAGGGACAGGAACTCCGGGTCATCGATCCGGTGTTTTTTTTTTCATGTGGCTTTCATGTTCGTGGGCGGGAGGGTGTGTTGCAGCGGGCAGGGAACACCCCGGCCAAATGCAGCTCTTGGCCCGCAACAAGGCCGGATGCCTGATTCGGGGACCATGTTTTTCAGAGGTCAGCGGATGTTCTTCTGCTGTAGGGTGGTTTTAGACATACATGGCACTGGTTAAGATTGGCTTCCTTCCCTTTACCAGGGCCATCGCTTTTTGTCCAACAGGTCACCTATGAGAGTAGCCTGCTTTGCGCGTCAAAGCGGCACATGGCCTTGCTGTGCGAGGCTCAGAATCTGAAGGGGATTCTGCCGGGTCAACTGTACATGCCAGTCTTCCTACTTGGATGTTCGGCCAAGTTTGCAACTGACTAGCCATCTTTGCTATAACCCACTATTCACAAGGTGAACTCCACTGAGGGGGACTTTGCAGCGGGTTAACCTAGGTTGCCAACGGCTTCCTAGCCCGGCCGAACACCCAAGCAATGAACACACGTCCCAGGTCAAAACTGTCTACGTAACAGCCATCGTTTCCTCATGCGCCATGCGCTTAAAGCCTGGTTTCGCATGGTCTCCTCATGAGAAGCCATCGTTTCCCCATGGGTTTCCTGTATGTTTTAGCAAGCAGGAGGGCTCTAACCCACTTCTCTGCCCCATCAGTCAGACCCGCCCACCAAGATTTTATAAAATTTCATACCAATCTCCCATATCAAAACCCATATAAGTTTCATAACACGCGCCTAACCAACCTCATAATCAAAATGTTTTAAGTTATTCATTTTATAAAATAACTTAAACCATTTCATACATCCTTAACCTCATTCTTTTCTAAATTTTCTATGTGCTTCCTTGCTCGTTCGTGCCGTGCCTTGTGCTTTAATTTAATCTCACAATCACATACAGAACAATGATATTCTCTCTGTCCGTATTCTTTGTTTATTTCTCGTATTTCTTCCTTATGGTTGTCTCGGTATGTTTTTGAATATACTATTTGCTTGTCTCTGCACTTGTCACAAGTTTTATGATTATCTGAAAATACTTCAATCTTTCTATGAACTCGGCAATGAGAACAACATTGTTTTCCCCTTCATCTGCTACTGTTTCTTTCTTAATCGCTTCTCTTTTCAATTTCTTTATTTCTGACTTCCTTCTTTGCTTTTCACGGCATTTATCACAAGTTTTACAATTATCTGAAAATAAATTGTAATTCTTATCTCTCTGACAACCCGAGCAATGTTTCTTCTCCATTAGTCCTTACAGTAATAAGCCATTTACCCTTTAAACCTTTTTAAGACAAAATGCTTACCGAAGTGGGTTGAAGCCCCCTTATCCAAAAACCCCCAACAACAAAGAACATAACCAAAAACCAAACAAGGAACAGAACACAGAACATTCCAAAACAACCAATCAACGAAACTGTCCAAAGCTTCTTTTCAAAGAGCATGAACAAAACCTCAAACAAGAACACATGAGCCACTTGCGCACATCTGGATGCACCGCATGGACATTGCAATGGCAACCTGCTTTAAAATGCCCATGCACCACATACACATATGCCCATGCACCACATACACATATGCCCATGCACCACATACACATATGCCCATATACCACACACTCATTTGATGTTGCATGTCATGTGTTCGTGTGGTTTCCCCTAACCCGCCAAACTAACCAAGATTTCACAAATCAACGCACTAGGTATTTTGTAAAGGTCTTCCTGTTTATGTTTAACATAATTATCACCCCAACTTTCCTTCCTTCCTGATGGCATTCGCTGGGCTGTTTCAATATGTTTGTTATTCCTTATTTTACCGCAATCCTTGTTACATAAACTTCGGGGGTTCCATTTGTCAAGATTATTCCACAACCTGGTTCTCTTCCGATAATTAAAACCAGATTTGCAATAATCAACATCATTGTACTTCAAACCACTCATAAACGGTTGCATCTTCAACAATCCAGTTTGAGGGTTTTCAATTACCCAGTATTCAGGTTTAAAGTAATCTATTATTTCCAGGGTTTTTAAAACAATACTGTTAGCATATTCAATATTTCTGATGCCAGTTGTTTTGCTCTGCTGTATTCCGTGCAAGGTGGAGAAGCCCAAATAAAATTGAAATGCCCTTTGTCAAACTCTTTGTAATTCCATTTCAAAATATCAGTATTGATGTTCGCATTCTTCAAATCCAATGATATAACATTGAACCCTAAATCTCTTGCAATTTTTCCAACACTACCTGACCCACTGAATAACTCTAATAAATTCATTTATTAAAGTTATTTAGAAATTAATCTAATGAATATTTACCATTCACATCCTTAACCAGGTTGTAATATTCAATGGTTTCAGGTCGTGGCATCTTGATTTTATTGTCGTTAATCATTTCACAGTATTTCTTCCTCTTTGTTTCAAAATCTCCAACAGGCCTACCCAGCCCTTTCTTTTGAAAAATCGTATCAATCTTTTCCTTCTCATCAACATTATCTGCTATGTTGGCTTGAAACTTTTCATCAATTGCTGTTGTTAAATCTGTTAATGCCTTGATATTCTTATTCAACATATTTACCTTGTTTATCAACTCACTTAATGACACATTATCACTATCTGACATATATATTTATATATATATATATTTATTTATTTATTTATGCGTTTAACGTGGTGTTAAACCTACTCTTTATATATTATTGTTTCATCATTTCACGTATGGCTTCCTGTGCTTCGTTTTCACCATTATCGGATGGAGTAGCGTTCCGACCCCATTTAAAAGTTATATTATGAACGTCTGTTTCTAAATTGATATTACCATCTTTGGATTTATCAATATTAATTTTCTTATCCTTCTTACTTATTTTGAACCCTATTGGCACACACGAACATTTGCAGTGTCCTTTCTTTTGTATTTCTAATTCATTTTTTCATTTCTAACATCTTTTTGCATATTGGACAAGCAAACTCAATAACTGCTGTCTGATTAATAACTTCTTCACTGTCTTCATCAGTTGAAGAAACACTTAATCCTGTCTTATTCTTTTTGTTTTTCTTTCTTCCCATTTATATTAACATTTACACTTTTATTTTTGATATATTGTATTCCTAACTTAATTAATTCTAATGAATAATAACAACATTTTTTAGTTTTATTATCAGTTATTACAACTTGTTCTATTTTCTCTACTTCATCTATTATATCAATATAATCCGAATAACTCCTTTCCATATTAAATAATAAGATTAATTTATCTTATTATTTAGAATACTCGGGGTTCGCAATGGGTTTCTTCACACTGGCAACACAGAAAAGGCATCAAACTAATTCAAACTAATTAGCTTCAATGCTTATTGATTGAAGCAATGGACGCGAGGAACGAGCCTCGCGTGCTACGCGACGCATCGGCGATGCCTCGCGAAGCTTCGCGACAGCCTGTTCCATTATGTTATTCACCACCACACATAACATAATGATGGTCGCGTTAGCACGCGAGGCTCGTTCCTCGCGTCCATTCAATAATAAATATAAATTATTTTCTAAATAACTTTAATATTATTTTATTATGTCAGAAGTTCCCATTATAAAACCGATAAACATAACTGACTATGAATTTAAACAGTCTAAATATGAGCACGTGCCAAAACTACCTTTTAGAAGCATTATAGTTGCTTCTTCCACAAGCGGTAAGACTGTCCTTATTCAAAATTTAATATTGAATGTTTATAGAAATTCATTTGCAAGAATATTTATATTTTCACCAAGCGTCCATAACGACCCTACATTTACAGAAGTTAAAAAGTATATCCGAGATGAATCACACGTGGATGATGAAAAAGAACAAATTTATTTTGATAATTATAATCCTACAGATTTAGAACATGTAATTGAAAGACAAAAGAAAATTTTTAATTATATGAAATCTAAAAAATAAAGAAACTACATTCAATATTAATCGTGATAGACGACCACGCCGGTGACCCTAAATTTGTTAGATATAGTAAATTATTACACGGACTTTTTACAAGAGGTAGGCACGATGCAGTAAGCGTAATTTGTTCAACACAGAAATATAATGTGTTGGCGCCTATCATTCGTTTAAATGCCAGTTCATTATATATTTTAGGTTGAAAAATGCCAGTGAATTAATGAGTTTTATTGAAGAAAATAGCGCCATTGTTGACAAACAGCAATTATTAGATATGTATCATCAAGCCGTTAATGACGCACCTTATAGTTTCTTCTACGTGAATATGAATGCTAAAGACAT